TGGTACACGACTGGCTGGTAGCTTGTGAGGTGCGGTGCTGACTTTCTCCTTTACTTTACTGTGAATTGTATTTCTTGCTTCTTCCTTCTTTCCAGTAAGGAAAAACAAGTGTGTATCTATTTGTATTGAAATAAAAGCAAAAAGTTAGTATTTCTTTAAGTTCAGTAGTACCTGCTGTGTGTGTCCTCCTTGGGTTTTGGAAGGTGACAGTGTGGTGTTTCTTCTTAGTGAAGGTTTCTCTTGGATGTTTTCCTGGTGTTTCTTGGAGTGTTTTTGTGAATTACCAAAAAAGGAAATTTTTGGAAATTTGTGATGTTTCGGGAAAGAGTTTTTTTTTTTTTTAGTTTTATTAGTTCTCTGTCTATATCTTTCTTCTGAGGAGAATAATATATAACAATATATTGGTGTCCATATCAACAATTTCTTCAAGATTTTTTACTTATATTAATATGTTGTACAACAAAGTCTAATATGCTAAAGGGGATATGGGCTTATAGTTGAAATCAGATCAGAAGTCTTTCCTCATATAACTATAAAATTATAATTAAAGATAGGTCCCTAAATTAAAAGCAAGAATATTATTTAAATATCTTTTCTATTAAAAAAGTTTTTTTAAAAATACAAAAAAACTCTTTCCCGTTCACGTGTGGCATAGCAACCAACCTGAACAAGAAAGATGACAAGCAACTCAGGGAACAGTAAAGTTCCTAGCAGACAGACAGACAGAACTCTCAGATACGAAAGAAGAATAGTCAAAGAAACAACTCCGCTCAGAACCCAACCATACACAAAGAAACCCAACATCCAAACAAAACAACCTCAAACTCCTGCAATCCAAAGCAACTCCAAACAATCACAAACCCCAATAGTCCAAAATCAAGAAACCTCCACCCACCAAACAAGAGAACTTAGTCAAACAGAAGCATAACAGACCCCACTCAAAGAGAGCTGGAACAAACAGGTAACAAGAAAACAGGCCAGTCAGGAAAAACAAAACATCAACAGAGATTACCAAAATCCTCAAGAACAGGATAAACCCTTGGAAAGAATGAATAGAACCATCAGAATTGACAACACAGACACAGACATAAATAGCGACAGTAAAACCGAACAAAAACAATCATGGTTCATCATATTGAAAGGAAAAGGCAAACAAGAAGGCTTCAGGAAATCAAACAAACCAAGACCTATTTCCCCATTCGACAGAGTGGTCAAATATGGTAAAGAAAGATATAAGATAGAAATTGCAGCTAGCGAACTCACAGGGAAAACAACATATCAAAAAATTGAACAGATCATCCTGGCACTTAACTCCCCCAAAGGATTACTCTCAGTCTGCAGCGAAGGGCAAAACGAGAAGATGCAGATCGTAGCTATTTTTGGTAATCAATAAGTAGCGGAACACACAACCACTATCAAATTATAAATACAAACAACAAGTTCCTCCAACACATGCAATCGTCAAACCAACAGATTGAAAAAGACAAATCAATCGTCATGTGGGACATTCCCCTAAACATAAAAATCATTGAAGTCAAACAAGCATTTACTAAATATGGAGCAATTACTGGAATCACAATAAAAATCCAAAACCTTTGGCAAAGTGCCACAATCACTTTCGACAGTGCAATAGTCAAAAAACAAATTAGTGGAACAAAGAAGCACACTAATCAAAGAAGATTTAGTAAGAATAAATGACGCAATGTGGATATTACCATAAATGAAGGAGAGACACAAAATTGCAGCCAAACTAGTCAACTTACCACTTAACACAATGGCATGGGACCTAAGAAACAACATCACACAAAGTAAGAGGCTCACATGTTATATTCCAAGAACATCAGACCTAGCATACAAACAGAAAAAATTTGCAATAATCAACTTCACCAATAAAGAAAACCTTTTAGAAGCAGTACAGAACCAATACATTCTAGGAGAAACAGAAATATACTATATACCAATCAGCACTAAACTATGTGCCATTTGCAACTCAGATAACCATCTTGCCAAGGATTTCCCATTCAAAATGAGACGACAACAATGGGATAACTATTATGAAGAACAAGTAGCCAAATTTGAACCATTATACAACAAATACAAACTTGCAAAAACAATGAAAATTCAGAACCTAAACAATTCTAAACCAAACAATAATATCAAAAATGGATCTTTCACAGATGTAGTTAAGCAACCAAAAATTATCAATCCAAACCCAACAACTAGCGAAATCATCAAAGCGCTACACCAAATTCAACAACAATTAACAGAATTAAAAGAAAAAATAACAGAGATTGATGAAAGAATCACAAACCTCGAATACTACAATGAAGAATACTATGAAACAATGGAGACAAAACAGTCAAATACCTCTAGCAGCAGCAGCAACAGCCAAGAAGACCCCACCCCACAACAACAACCACAAGAAAGAACAATCGAAGAAATTAAAAATCAACAAACCAATCTCTTTGCATCAGTAGACGGAATCCAAAACAGCATCAACCACTTAGTATCAACAATTGATATAATGACAGAAGACCAAACCCCTAACACCCCCTTTATCCAATAATATGGGAAACACCAATAGCCAAGATGATGAACAAAATCAAAACAACCGAAATACAAATAACATTGAGGAACAACTAGACCATTTAGAAACACAAATCAACAATCAACTCAACTGATCAGATCCAGACTCTAACACAGAAGACAACAATACTCCAACCATACTATCAGAGCCACAACCATTAGAAATAAACTGAAACGAAATAAATGATATTCACCCATACAATATGCAATACACAACAAATGCAGAAAAACAAATACCATTAACAGACAATTTACCTATATGACATATAACTACGTGTAATATAAGAGGCATCAAGTTGAATCCAGGCAAACTGATCCTTTGACAGGAATGGATAGCAAAGTTAAACGCAGACATCATTACATTAACAGAAACAAATCTCACTAACAATAAAGGGAAACACATAACTTTCGAAGGATACTATACAATCTGAAACGATGACAGCACCCAAACAAAAGGATTCAGGGTAGCACTTCTAATCAAACAAGACCTGGCAAAACATATCTATAAGAAACAAACATGACAAGACAGAATAGTAATGGTCGATCTTCTTTTTAAACAAAAAAACAAACTTAGAATTATCACTACATATAGTCCTGCAGAATCATATTGTTATCGGCTATGGCGAGTCTGTCGCTAATCCGAAGCTAAGGCTCGCGTAACGATAAGGAGTAGGGGTCTTGTATCGTTTGCACACCAAAGGTACGTATTAATAAGCTTCCTTCTCCTGTATTGCCGGCCTAATCCTCTACCACAATTCTATGTGGGCTTCTAGGATTCTTTCAATGGCGAATAACTAACTAAGGCAAGTTTATTAATTATGTATCTCAAGGTATAGCAAGTTGGGTTTATTGATTAAGCGATTCTTATTTTTTATTAGGAAGATACATTTCTATTGCATGTAATTCTATGGCTATTTATATGAGAGGCGACGCGTCTTCCTCACCTGCGACGCGTCCTGCAGACCCACTGATGCATAAAGTGATGCATCAGGTGTCGTGCGCCGTACCCCGGGCCCTCATACTCTATTCTACTATTCGTGCCTAAAAGTACTGACTATACTACATTTTCATATGCTAACACTCCCCCCACACTTATTTCATGCACGACTGTGCATATTATCATTCCAGGTTACCGGTTCATAGTATCGCTTCAAGATTTTCGTGTTGATGGGGCTGGCTAGCACGCGACCCTCGAGGGTTCGAAGCTTGTACACATCTTGGGTAAGTATGTCGTGGACGTAATACGGTCCACTCCATTTGTCGACGAATTTACTGCTTCTAGAATTCTCCAATGCTGCCCGGTACATCAGCACTTGATTTCCGATGTTGAATGGTTCTGCTAGGTCTTTATTATGGTCGTGACGTGCTTTTTGCTTTTCGTTTCCATTGTTTTTATTGGTAGTAACTTGGCATCCCGTCTCAGCTAGTCCTCCGATATCAAATTCTTTATGGTAGGTGGCGTCATCCATTGTGTCCTTGAATGCTAACTTGTGCACATTGTCGGTCGTAGTAGCTTGGTTGGCCTCTCCGATTTGTTGTATCTCGTGACGTACTATGTCGGAATCCCGCAACACTTCTACCAGCTGGTTCACTCGCCCTTTATTTTCCTTAATTTGTCTAATGCTAGCATCATTGACACGCGCATTCACTAGATTTGGCATTGCTGATTTGTTGCTGTCTTCTCCGATTTTCCGTTCAGAATCACGTGACAAGTCGGTACTCCAGGGCCTTTTCACAGACCGATTTGTTCGCCATATATTCCCCATTGTTCGCTTACCATGAATTGCATTAGCCACGATGCATGCTCTTTTGGTCACGGTGATGTTATCGAATTCTACTTCGGTAATAGCAGTATTTAGATTCCACGCCATCAACAGTTCCCGGGCCTTGCGCCAGTGTGTGATCGTTCGTTGTTGGCACATTGGAGGCAAGTGGCTACGTCTAACGATGGTATAATATCATGCACGCGAGTATTGTATATTGATTGTCGACCTCACTGTTCTGTTGGTTGATTCTCTTGAGGTTGGTATGGTCTCTTGCTCTTCCTGACCATTCAGGATATTACTACCGCGATCAAAGGTGTATCGCATCATTTTCGCGCGCTCAGGTTTCAGGACGGTACTCCCGGTCATGTCGATTAGGAGTTCTTTTACTGGATCTTCTGCCCAAACCGTCTTATAAATTATCATCATCGCACGGCGTGCTAATTTTGCGAAGTCCTCGGAGTGCGCCATCATACGCTTTCTTCTCAACTCGCAGCCAAGTGTGTTTATCAGTCACTGCCATGATGCCGTGATGCTGCGCAGCCTGAACGTCTCATCCCCTGGTGCGTGCATTTCCCAAGTAATCACTGACATCATTTCTGCCTTCTCGACCCATTCCCTCGTATCCTGACCATCCTGGTGCAGCTTTCGCTCTATCGGGGCATCATCATCGGTATCAACTACTCGTCGTGTTACCTCAGAGCTCCCTATCCCTTGGATCATTTTTCCGTAAGCGTCCTGATCTTGTCTTGCTATTGATTCTTTTCCCAGGTTATCGTTGGCTTTCCTCTCCTTCTTCGCGATTCGATCTCCATTACATCCTTCTGCAGGTTGGTCTACCGAAGCGGCATCTTGTTTTTTTGCTAACGCTGCTTCTATTCGTCCAAGCCGGTCTTGTGGTTCTTCTTTTGCCTCTTGCTGTATTTTGCGACCGCTCGGGACGTCATCATTACATTGCACTATGTCGCACTCAGGCTTCTGGACGGTACTCGTGATCGCGTTCTCATACTCGATCAGGAGTTCTTTTACGGGATGCTTTGTCCACACCGTCCCGTAAATTGTCATCATTGTGCGAAGTGCTAGCTTTACGAAGACATCGGAGTGGGTTTTCATGAACTTTCTTCTAAATCTTCGAGCAAATATTCCTATCAGTTGCTGCCATGACTCAGGGATTCTATGGAATCTAGGAGTTTCATCTCCCGGCGTCCGTGTTTCCCAAGTGATCATCAGCATCGTTTCCTTCTTGATTATCCCTTTCTCGTCTTCATCGTATGACGTCGGTAGTTCTTCTCTTTGTACGGCGTCTGATTCTTCCGCAATCGTTTTTATCAGCTCACATTGTTCTTCTAATCCATCCTCTTCCTTCTCATCGATCTTTTCTTGGTTCTTATGTGTCGTCGACGGACTTTTCATCATCGCGACGTCCTGCTCTTTCGCAATCATTTCTTTTATTGGTCCATATCGATCTTCTGGCTCACCCTTACCCTTTTTCTCAGTTTCGTTGACCGTCTTGGGATTCTCTTCGGTCGCCGCCGGCGTTTCTTCCAATTGGGGGGAACACGTCGCAGAGCCTAGAATCTCTGGTCGTGCCTCATCATCAGAGTTGGGACTACTACTCGCTTTTTGCAACGCCTTGCCTTCGTCATTATCAAAGGATATCAGCCATTCTTCTTCGTCCTTATCAGTTTTCCCTTTCCAGTAGCTACTGACATCATAATCTTCCTCATACTTACGATAGCCTCGGTCTCCTCTTGTTGGTTTCGGTTCCGGCGCAACCTTCTTTCTTCGCGTTTGATCTTGTAACTTTTGCACACTGTCCTCTAATTCTTTTATCTTGCTTACTTTCTTTTCAGCATCAGCCTCGGCTTTAATTGCCGCTCTGATTGCTTCCACTGGGTCGGTTGCGTTCGCAACGGTGGGTCTAGACAACAAGTCCTTCCTTAATCCAGTCGCAAGCAGCCATTCCGCTGGTTCTTTCTGGTAGTTGCCCTCAGGATACACTTTATCAAGTAGCCTCGCGAACCTATAGGTGTACTCAATCACTTTTTCGTTCTTCTCCTGCCATATGTTTTCTAATTCTTTTTGCCACTGGCGCCATTACTGTTCGCGCATCACGAAGTGTTCCACGAATGCTGGCGCGAAACTTTCCTCGCGATCGTATTCCTCGTCCCACCAGATGAAACGGTCGCTATTCTCATTGTACCAGTCTAATGCCGCTTCTTCTAGATACTCACCTACTCTTCTTAGTTTTTTATCGTCTGTCCAGTTATTGCGGTTGGCGGCTTGGTCGTAGAGTTTTATCCACAACCGCGGATCCTCTCCTGCTTTGCCTTTAAATCCGCACAGCCTTCCTTGCTTCGCTTTCTTCCCTCCATTCTCTTTTAACTTGACTTCCCGTTTCCGGCTTGCACGTACGTCCACCGGTCTTCTTGGGGCATCTAGTCGTGAGAAAGTGGGGGGACCAGTTTCATCATCCGTTGTGTCATATTCTATGTCATACATTGATGATTATTAATCGACTACCACGGTTTGTCACGGGTCTTGCACGGGTGTAAAGGAGGTAAAGTCTTGTTTTGGCGAATAATGTGTTTTTCAATTAGGGTTTTAATTAACACGAGCTGTTTTCTAAAATCGGCGTAACTCTTGTTCGCACAATTTTATCAGAGGGGGGGGGGGTAATGAACGTTGTTCCTAATTAATTTACTTCGGTCCTCCACCAAATGTTATCGGCTACGGCGAGTCTGTCGCTAATCCAAAGCTAAGGCTCGCGTAACGATAAGGAGTAGGGGTCTTGTATCGTTTACACACCAAAGGTACGTATTAATAAGCTTCCTTCTCCTGTATTGCCGGCCTAATCCTCTACCACAATTCTATGTGGGCTTCTAGGATTCTTTCAATGGCGAATAACTAACTAAGGCAAGTTTATTAATTATGTATCTCAAGGTATAGCAAGTTGGGTTTATTGATTAAGCGATTCTTATTTTTTATTAGGAAGATACATTTCTATTGCATGTAATTCTATGGCTATTTATATGAGAGGCGACGCGTCTTCCTCACCTGCGACGCGTCCTGCAGACCCACTGATGCATAAAGTGATGCATCAGGTGTCGTGCGCCGTACCCCGGGCCCTCATACTCTATTCTACTATTCGTGCCTAAAAGTACTGACTATACTACATTTTCACATGCTAACAATATGCATATAACCAAACATACACAAATGAAACCATTCGATTCTGCAAAGAAACAAAGTTCAAATAAAGTCTAATATTGATAATAGGAGATTTAAACTCAGTAGCAAATCCTAGTATCAACATGCCAATATCAAGAACCACAGCTGACAAGCAATACAAACCAATAGGAAAACTAATCTCATGGCTAACAGCAAACAGTTTTATTGACACCTTCAGAGAAGCTAACCCATACAGTACAGCATACACATGGAAAAATTCATCAGGCATATACAGTAGAATAGATCAAATATAAATACAATCATCTCTACTCTGGCTAACGACAGACGCATATATTCAAGACATTGATGCAGATACACTAGAAACAGACCACTGATCATCACACACCCTCCTTTATTACTGGGACATACAATTAACAATGAATATATACATAAGAAGCCCCTCTAACACAAGATACCGATGGTATAACACCTCTAAGAAAAGTTGGTTAAAATTTAATAAAAACATATATTCACAGTTACAACAATCATGGCAAATAACAACAAAAGAAAAAAACCCAACGAACAAAATGTGGTGCTTAATAAGAGAAGCAATACTTTAAGCAGCCAATAAAAACATTAAAAAATACAAGGAAAAAAAAAGAATAGCAAAATCACCAAAACCGTAAACATATATTATAAGACAACTATTCAAACTCAAGAATCTAGGAGAAAAAGCCAAGGAAAAAAAGATCCAGGAAGTAAGATTCCGGAAAAAAACAGAAAAAATTATAAACAAACTCAAAAACAAACAAGACCTCTCAATAAACAAATCAAAAGAACCACTCAACGAAACAAACATCCAAGAATGGAATGACAACCTGAAACAAATATTAATAGATCATAAACAAATTCTTAGAAAAATATGTCAAAACCAAAAAACAAAAGCAATACAAGAACACATCATATGACAACAAGCCTTCTTTGCTACAAATAAAAAACAGATGATAAGAAATCTTTTAGATAATCCCAAAAGACACATTATTCTGAACAAACTAATTTTTCATGAACCAGAGGAAAGAATCATAACTGAACCGACCGAGATAAAAGAAGAAATAAGTAAATACTTCAAAGATTGGACAAAGAAACAGAATACCATCAATATAACAAACACAATGTGAGACAAAGAATACAAACCAATGAGACACATCTCAAAACAATAGTATACAAACACAACTAAACCAATCACAGTTGAAGAAATACAACAAACAATCAAATCTTGATCAACTAAATCAGCACCCGGATCCACAGGCATTCCATATATAGCACTCAAAAAACTATCCCCAAAATCACTCTTCTATATCACAGAACTTTTCAATCAAATACTTAAACACGAAATGGTACCAAACGAATGGAAACAAGGAAGCATATACCCAATACCCAAACCAAAACCATGGGAGAACAATATCAACATCACAAGACCAATAACCCTATTGGAAACTACAAGAAAAATATTTACAAAAATAATAAACAATCACTTAACACTTAAAACCAATCCTATTCTCTTATCACATAACTGGGCAACATTACCAGGATGCAGTATACAAGAACCAATCCACATTCTAAGAGCCATTCAGGATGACGCAAAACAACACAATAGGCCAGCATGAATACTAAGTCTTGACATGACAAAAGCATATGACTTAGTCAGTATATCAAGACTTAAACAAGCAATAAACAGAATCCAATGCCCAAAGAAAATCACCAATATCATTATAAACATATGCGATAACAGACAAAATGAAATAATAATATCCTTTGGCCCCTCACCAACATACACAGTAGAGGATGGAATAGACCAAGGAGATACAATATCTCTACTTCTCTGGAGAATTTTTTATAATCTGCTAATCATATATATAACCAGAGAATTTAATGGATATACTCTTATAGCATATCAAAAACCAGAAATAACAGCAAAATCAATAGTAACAAAACAAAAAATAACATGCATCATGTTCATGAATGATACGACACTTATAGTACAAAGCAAAGAAGAAATGCAAGAACTATGTGACATCTGTATCAACTTCTTCAATATAAATGACATTTAATATAAATGGAATCAAATCAAGTCTAATTATAATCAATAAGAAAAAAGAAGAAGAAGAAGCTATGAGCCTGATAACCATCCAAAGTCAAACAATAACACTACTAACAGCACATCAAACAGCAAGAATCCTGGGGATATATATTGAAAGCAAAAACATAAAACTCTTTCAAAAACAATTGATAAGAGACAAAATACTTAAGTTCGCAAATGCATTAAAATGGAAAACAAGTATAGACAAACAACTCAGATATTTACATAATCATGTATAGACTCTGACAGTGACATATCTTCTAACAGACATGACAATTACTGAAAAACAAAGCAATAAATTAATGCAAACGCTTAACAGAATTTACAAACACAAAATAAATATGGCATTAACTGCACCAAATACAATCTTATTCAATTCAATCAAATATGGATTTTTTTATATTTGGAACAGACAGTTGTTGATGCATGCAAACAGTTGGTACAAATGCATAATAAACCAAAGCCTCCTGGGGAAAATAACAAAAATGAGACTGCAAGAATTACAGAACAGGTGATGGTCAACAGCAGCAGTCACAAGTACAACATTGAGAAAACCATTCCTACCAATAGGACATGACCTCACACACGATATAACAATATTGTTAAGACAATATGGCTTTACAAGAGAAACAAACAACATCAGCATTATAAAAAAAACAGACACAACAATTGAAGAGTTAGTAGAAGAGAAGTGATATACAAAACACAGAAAATAACTAAGAACAAATCAAATATGTTTATCCATCAAATTACCAATTACTTAAGAACAAGACTAGCAGCATGGTCAGAAATAACACACATCAATAAAAAACCCAACTGGAGGAAACCAAAATGGTTCATAGAAATCAAAAACAACCCAAAAATAATCCAAACAATTAATCAAAGAAGAACAACATAAAAGACATATAGATCAAGAAAAAAAACTGCAGCCAAAATTCCACCAACGGAAATAAATAGGTAACATTAAAAAGAAACAACGAAAATATAATCGGAAGGAGAAAAAAATACAAAAATAATAAAATCAAAATACAACACTATAATAGAATCAACAATAACTCACCCTAATAGAATATTTAGGCTGTGAACATAATATATAAGGCAAACAAGGTGAATGTATTTTCACAGAAGCAGCAAACAGCACAATATGTATACCAGTTTACAAAAGCCACACGAGTACCAGAGATACACCAAACAGCAAGCTTCAGCACAGAGTAAGAATTACATCCAACAGTATCAACAAAATAATAGATAACAATTTCAACAACTCCAATATCCCACCATTATCTGTGATTATACAAGATCATCTACACACTGCGCAACTAGTGATAAGAAAACATATATATGCATCACAAGCCAAGACAATAAAACTGGCAGAAATTAGACTCAAAATAGGAAAACTAAAACATATCACATACTTTACAGACGAATCACTAGACTACCATCAGAATATAGGGTTCAGTTGGCACATCACAAACATTCCTAATACTAAGTTTAAGGGCAAAATAACAGGAACACCATTGTCAACAAGAGCAGAGCTTGCAGCAATCGCAACAGCAATCACAACAGCATCTGCAAATAGTAACATCACAATATGTAACGATAGCCAAGCAGTACTAAATAAAATAAACAAAGCAGAAAAAGATGTAAAAAATTTAAGAATGTTTAAAAAAAGTCATATAATACTATGTATTTTAAATATAATTAAAACACAAAGATTACAAATCATATGAAAAAAAGTCAAAGCATACAGTCGAAAATACAATAATGAAATGGCAGATCAATTAGCAAAAGAAGCATACAATCTTTCTATGGCAGAAGAAATTATAATAAAAAACACATAAAATCAAATCTTTGACTGAACACAACAATGGAATGAACAGATTCTCTGCAATACAATCACACAAACAATTAAAGATATAACAAGAGCAAAGTATATAGTTAACTGGAGGATGCTAAACCGCAATATAACAACAATCGACCAACACACTAGAGAAAACATAGCATGGAAAGAATCATTATGAAATAAACATCCATCAAAAATCACAACAGGAATAACCAACAATGAAGATCACAACAGAAGAGTTTTCAGATGAAAACTCTGGAATCAAGAATTATTAATCAAAGACAAGCTTCACAAGAGATTAGTGGAAATATACAAAGATGACATATGTTCCAGGTGTAATATAGAAACAGAAACTAACACACACGTGATACAATATGCAAAAAACAAGACAGATCCAATCAAGCATCTAAAGCAAATAATAAATGAAGAAGTAAGCAGCAAGTCAAAAGAAAGAATAAAAAGTCACTTAAACTCAGAACTATACAGATATATCAACACATGAACGCAAGAAATTACAAACAACATATGCAAGGAAACAATAACAACAGGAATAATCAAAATTATCAAAAAATATACAGAACCAGAAACAAGAAAATAAACAATAAAAAAAATATATGAAAGATTTTTAAAAGAGCTAGAGGAGAGGTGAAGAACCAGATGACAAAATTTGGGGAATGGGAAAAAAAAGAAAACATTCAAAAACAAAACAAAAACAAATAGAAAACATTCACAAAAAATAAACAAATAAACAGATTAAATGCTTATAGGATTAATACAATAATGGAATATGCCAGTAAAAACTGGATCAACTGGAACACACTATACACTTTCGAAATTAATTTTAATGGGGATTGGTAGAGCCTTGGCAAATTAGCTAAGTATATACTAATATACAGGCAATAAGTCACATGGTAGGATTAATCCTTAATGAGTTTATTAAATAGATAGAGTTAAAAAATTTGTATAAAACGAATTTGTA